CCAGACAGAGAGAGAGAGAGAGAGAGAGAGAGAAAGCGAGAAATCACCCCCAGAGGGGATGGTCACGCCATAATCCCTTCTCCTCCATTCTCCTCTCAGGATCTTGGGCACGCACGCACATGCGCCCGGCGTGAATTTTAAGCCACCGGGTCCAGGACACGAACCGCGGTCGACTACGTGGGAATCCAGCGACATAGCCGTTAGGCTAACTGCTGGTTCCCATTTTTTATCTTTCTTAATCCACCTAGCTAAAGCTGTATCAAGAACCAACTTTTACTTTTCATTGACCTCTATTTTTCTGTTTTTTTTTTTCATTTATTACTACACTAATGACTGTCATTTCTTTTCTTGCACTAGCTTTAAGTTTAGTTTTTTCTTTTTCTAGTTTCTTAGAGTGTAAATTATTTCTTGTCCTTTTTTTTTTCTTTTTTTTTCTTTTTTACGTTTTACCATGACACATGCACTCGCCTGAGAGAGACAGTGAGAGGGAAAGTGAGAAAACAAGCCCTAGAGGGATGGTCATGCTGCAATCCCTTTTCTGTTCTCCTGGGATTTTGGACAAACACACACATGTGTCTGGCATCAAGCCACTAGCCTGGAGACTCAAACCGCGTTGGCCACGAGGGAATCCAGCACCTGGATTAGCCATTACACCATCTGCTGGCCCCAGTCTTTCTTGTTCGTGATGTAGGCGTTCATATGTTTATGGTTTAGCACTCCTTTGGCTGCAGTTCTATAAATTTGGGTATATTGTATTTTGTCTTCATTCATCTCTAAGTATTTTCTCATTTTCCTGTGATATCCTCTTCCATCCATTAGTTAAGAGTGTATGATTTAATTTCCACAGATGTTCAAGGATTCTGCTTTTCCTTCTGATTTCTTAACTTCCTCCCATTGTGGTAGGAGAAGACACTTGTATGATATCCATCTTTTAAAATCTGTTGAGACTTGGAACCAACAGAGGATGTAATGCTTATGTCACTGGACTCCCATGGTCAACTGTGGTTCAAGTCCTGGACTTGGTGTCTTGAAACTCATGCTATGTGCATGCGTGCCCAAAATCTTGAAAAGAGAAAGGAGAAGAGATTGCAGTGTGGCCAACCCCCGCCCCCCCACAAGGGGTTGTTTCTCACTTTCTGTCTCTGTCTCTACAGAGTACATACACCCTATAGCAAAAATCTCTCTTAAAATCTATCAAGACTTATTCTGTGGCCCCACGTTGCCTATTTTGGAGAAGATCCCATGTGTGTAAGAAGGATGTGTATGCTGTTGTTACTGGGTAGAGTGTCCTGTATATGTCTGTTGAATAAAGTTGGTTTCTTCATGTAAAGTCCCCATTTCCTTACAAAATGCCTGATGGTTCCATCCATTACTGAGAGTGGGACATTGAAATATCCCACTGTTACTGTCCATTTATCTCTTTAGCTCCCTTGATTTTTGCTTCTCGTATTTTGATGAACCGTTAATTAGATGTGTAAATGTTTATGATTATGACTGTGATGTCTTCTTGTATTGAACCTTTATTAATACATAAGGTCTTTGTTGTCTCTTATAAACTTTTTTGATTTTAGGTCTATTTTGCTAAACGTAGTATAGTCTCCCTTGTTCTCTTTTGGCAGCTATTTGTATTAGATATCCCTTTTCTGTGCTTTCTCTTTCAATCTATTTGCATCTTGGAGTCTGAAGTGAGATCTTTATTTCTTCACACAGCTTCAAGTACATTTACATTACATTACATTTTCCCCTAGTCCAGGAATTATTTAAATTACTTTAATTTTTTTTCTCTTTATTTGTATCTGTGTGCTTGTACACTACAGAGAGAGCTAAGAACACCTTTTGCAAAGTCTGGTCATACCATGATCCCTTCCCTGCTTGAACATTTCTTTCAGGGCAGGTCTAGTGGTAATGAACTCCCTTAACTTTTGTTTCTCTAGGAATATCTTCACTCTTCCCTCACTTTCGAAGGATGGTTTTGCCACCTACAGGATTTTTGGTTGATGTTGGTGTTCTTTTTTTGGGGGGGGAGAGGTTTTGACTATAGGGCGCGTGCGCTCGCCAGACAGAGAGAGAGAGACATAGAGACAGAAAGCAAGAAATCACCCCCCAGGGAGGATGGTCATGCCACAATCCCTTCTCCTCCATTCTCCTCTCGGGATCTTGGGCACGCACGCACACGCGCCCAGTGTGAGTTTTAAGCCACCGGGTCCGGGACGTGAACCGTGGTCGACTACGTGGGAGTCCAGCAACATAGCCATTACGCTAACTGCTGGTTCCCGATGTTGGTGTTCTTTTAGTACTTTGCCTCTATTGGTCTACTGCCTCCAATTTCTAATGAGAAATAGCTGATCATGTTATTAAGGACCCTCGTGTTTGATGACTTACTTCTCTCTTGCTGCTTATAAGATTCTGTTTTTGGGAGCCAACCAGTGACATGGTGGTTAAGGCAACTGGATCCCACATGGCTGACTGCACAGTTCAAGTTCTGGACCTGGCAGCTTGAAAAATACTCAGGGTGCTTGTGTGTGCATGCCCAAAATCACAAAAGGAGAATGAAGGAAAAGTTGAGTGTAGTGTGGCTATCTTCTCTGGTGGTGCTTTCTCAATTTCTCTCTGGTTTCTCTCCAGCCAGCATACATGTCCTACAGCAGATTTTTCTCTTTTCTTTTCTTTTTTTTATGTACTGAAAAATAATAAAGATTCTGTCTTTGTGTTTTGGAAGTTTGATTATAATGCATCTCAGAGTGGGTCTGTCTAAGTTCATCATACTTGGAATTTGTTAAACTTCTTGGATGTTAATATTCATGTCTTTTGGGACCAGCAGTTAGTGTAATGGCTATGTCACTGGACTCCCACGTAGTTGACTGCAGTTTGAGTCCCGGACCCGGTGGCTTAAAACTCACGCCGGGCATGTGTGCATACGTGCCCAAGATCCAGAGAGGAGAATGGAGGAGAAGGGATTGCGGCGTGACCATTCCCCCCTCGGGGGAGCTTTCTCGCTTTCTGTCTCTCTGTCTCTCTCTGTCTGGCAAGCGCACGCGCCCTATGGCAAAAACCTCTAAAAAAAAAAAAAAAGAAATATTCATGTCTTTTATCAAATTAAGTACGTTTTCAGCCATTATTTCTTCAATGATTCTCTCTATACCTTTTCTGTCTCTTCCCCTTCTGGGACTCACAGTGTATCAGGTGGTTTGCCTGATGGTGTCCTACAGACCTCTTAGGTTCTGTCTTGTCGTCAGGCTTTTTCTTGCCATTCCTCAGTCTCAGCCGTTTGCATTTTCCTGTCTTCAAGTTCGCTTATTCTTTTGCCTGTTCAGATCTGCCTCTGAGATGCTTTAGTGAGTTTTTCATTTCACCTAGTGTTTAGCCCCAGAATATCTTTTTTGTCTTTTTATTGATATTTCCATTTGGTTCATGCATCGTTTTCTTAATTTTCTCCACGTCTGTGTCTGTCTTTAGTTTTTTGAGCATCTTTAAGACAGTTGTTTTAAAGTCTGTCCAATATGCCTGTCAGCAAGTCTTTTTCATGGTCACTTTCTAGTGATTTATTTTTTCCTTTGAATGGGTCATACTTTTTTATTTCTTTGTTTGCCTTATGATTTTTTTGTTGTTGAAAATCAGGTAACTGAATTTAACAGTGACTCTAAATCAAATTCTGTTTCCCCAGGATTTGCTGTTTTCATTTGTTTTTTTTTTGTCATTTGACTGCTGCAGTCTGTCTCTGTGTCAGAGATCAGCCTGAGATGGAAGTCTGTGCAGGGCTTTTCTGAGCCTTCTCCTTTCCCTGAATTGTGTAGTTTCTCTCTCTTTTTTTGTTAAAAAAAAGAATCATTTAATTTTTTTTTTTTAAGATTCATTCATTCATTTTAATTTAACCAGAGAGAGACACAGAGAGAGAGAGAGAAAGTGAGAAAGCAAGCCACCAGGTCCAGGACTTGAACCCTGGTCGGCCATGTGGGACTATCCAGCGCCTTAACCACCACGCCACCTGCTGGTCCCATTAATTATTATTTTTAAATAATTAGTGAATTATTTAAAATTGAGGCCGGCAGTTGGCTAAAGGTGCTGGACTCCCATGTGACCGACCACTGTTGTTGTCCCAGACCTGGAAGCTTGCTTTCACATTATTCCTCTCTCTTTGTTCCTCTATCACTCTCTGGTCAAATTTAAATAAATAAATAAATAAATATTTTTTTAAAAATTATTGATTTTACTCACTGTTATTATTTTAAATTCACCAGAGGCAGAGAGAAAAAGAGAGTAGGAAAGTGAGAAAGCAAGCCTTTAGGTCTGTGACCTGTTTGGTTGGCCATGTGGGAGTCCAACGCCTTAACTACCATGCCACTTCCTGGTCTCTGAACTGCATAGTCTCTTACTCATTTTCCCTGTGTATGCAGTTGCTTTTGTTTGTTTTTGTTGTTTTTTGATAGATTTTCACAATAGGGCATATGTGCCTACTTGAGAGAGAGGGAGAGACAGAAACAGAAACCAAGAAACCACCACCCCCAGGGAGATTGGCCATGCTACAGTCCCTTCTCCTCTATTTTCCTCTTGGGATTTTGGGTTTGCACACACATACTCCAAGTCACGGGGTCCAGGACTGGAACCTTAGCCATGTGGGAACCTTAACCACTATACTACCTGCTAGCCCCAATGCCATTGCTTCTCTTTTTCTGAGAGTATTTTTGCCTTAGAACAACACATGCACTCACTGGGGAGAGAAAGAGAGAGAAATGGTGAGAAGGAAAGTAAACAATCATCTTCCAGGGGGAGATGGTCACACTGTAATCTCTTCTCCTCCGGTCTCTTCCTGGGATCTTGGGCATTCACGCACATGTGCCCGGCATGAGTTTGAAGCCACTGGGTCCAGGACTTGAACCATGATTGGTCACGTGGGAATCCAGCAATACAACCACTATGCCATCTGCCAGCCCCATCAATGAAATTGGTTTTGAAAGTCCTTGTTTTTAAAATGTCTAGCTCCCAAAAGGAGAAGGAAAGAGAAAAATGAAGGGGGAAGGAAAATTTCCTGGAAGTCACTTGCAGCTGGAGGAGGTACAGTTACTATAACTTCCTGCCCCATTATACCTACTTGATCAGAAATAGCAATCCGGGACCAGCAGGTGGCATAGAGGTTAAGGTGCTGGATTCCCACATGACTGACTGGGGTTTGAGTCCCGGACCTGGTGGCTTGAAAATCACTCACAATCTTGAAAATCTCAAAAATCTGCTCAGAACCAGCAGATGGTGTAATGGTTACATCACTCGTCTCCCACAGAGTTGAATGCAGTTTGAGTCCTGGACTGGTGACATAAAATTGACGCCGTGTGCGTCTGCATGCATGCCCAAGATCCTGAGAGAACAGAGGAGAAGGAATTATGACGTGGCCATCCCCCATGGTGTGTGATTTCTTGTTTTCTATCTCTCCAGTGAGCATATGTGCTCAAAACTCCCTAAAAAGAAAGAAAGAAAATCACATGAGGCACATGTGCATTCTTGCCCCAAATTCTGAGAGCAGAATGGAGGAGAAGGGATTGTGGCATGGTCATCCTCCCAGAGGGATAATTTCTCACATTCCTCTCTGTCTTTGGCAAGTGCATGCACCCAGTAGTAAAACCTAAAGAAACAAAACAAACAGCAATTAGTAGTCAGAGAGCAAAGTGCTTTGTGCACCCTCACGCCTACCCACCTATCTGCAAGCTGTTCTTTGAACATGGGCAGAGTGGCCTGCCATGGGAGTAGGGGCAGGACATGAGTCATTGGAAAAGTCATAATGCATTTCTGCACAGAAAAACATAGAAAATACATCATGACTTTTCCGACGACTCAATAATATTATGGGAAGAGTTGAAACGGATCAAAATTATCTACAGATTCTTGTCCAAGCATCCAAGCTTTTCCAGTCTACTAATGCAGTTGTTATTAAGATGGTGGCACCACAGAAGAACATAATACTCTGTGAGGCCAAACTACATGGGAAAGTTTCAGATTCATGTCTGAGACCTCCCTGAATTCACCAGGCATGCATGTACCCATGATCTGGGACCGGCTGAAGCTTGGGATGGATCACAAGAGTCAAGACCCTGTTGGTGGGGCCAGCAGGTGGCGTGGTGGTTAAGGTACTGGACTCCCACATGGCCAACTGCTGTTGGGAATCCCGGACCTGGCAGCTTGAAACTCACGTTGAGGGAACCAGCAGTTAGCATAATGACTATGTTGCTGGACTCCCACGTAGTTGACTGCAGTTCACATCCCGGACCCGGTGGCTTAAAACTCACGCCAGGCACGTGTGCATGTGTGCCCAAGATCCCGAGAGGAGAACGGAGGAGAAGGGATTGCGGTGTGACCATCCCCCCTGGGGGGTGATTTCTCGCTTTCTGTCTCTATGTCTCTCTCTGTCTGGCGAGCACACGCATAGAAAAAACTCCTCAAAAAAAAAAAATATCACATGTGTGTGTGTGTGTGTGTGTGTGTGTGTGTGTGTGTGCATGCACCCCAAATCCCAGGAGGAGAAGGGACTAAGTGTGATTTCTCACATTCCCTCTCAGTTTGTCTGTCTTTCTCTCCCCATATTTTTCTCTCTCCCTGGCAAGCACACTTGTCCTGTAACAAAAAACTTTAAATTAATAAATAAAGACCATGTTAGTGTTGTCTATCTGTCTCTCTATCTCTCACTGGCTCATGGAAAAATAAACAAACTTTAAAAAAATAAAGATGGGAAGACAGATTCTCAATGCTTTCTATTGCAGCATTTTCCCATAGTCCAGGAATTATTTAAATTACCTTAATTTTTTTTCTCTTTATTTATATCCGTGTGCTTGTACACTACAGAGAGAGCTAAGAACACCTTTCGCAAAGTCTGGTCATGCTATGATCCCTTCCCCATTCCACCAGCCCATCAGATCTTGGGCACTTGCACATCCCCAGGGGGATGGCCATTCTGTAATCCCTTCTCTATTCTCCTCTCGGTATTTTGGGCACACATGCACACGTGCCTGGCGTGAGTTTTAAGCTGCTGAGTCCGGACTCGAACTGCAGTCGACTTTGTGGGAGTCCAGCAATGTAGCCATTAGGCCATCTGGTCCCTTTTTTTGTGTTTTTACCAGAGGGTATGTGTACCTCACGAGGAAGACAGATGGACAGGAAGAGGTGTCCCTTCCCCGACCATGGGAAATGGTCAGATCTCAATCCCTTTTCCTTTTAGAATTTTAGGCATGCCAGACACCGGATGGAGAAGTGGAGAAAGAATTTCAGTGTGACAGTTCCTTATGAGGAATGCTTTCTCATTCTCCCTCCCTCTGGCAAATGCATGTACCCTTTGGCAGAATTTTAAAAAATTAAAACTTCTGACTAGCTAGAGGGCTAGGGGAAGGGGATCTTGGTGTGACGAGACCTTGTCAAGGGTATCTATTTGTGTTTCATGTGCTCTGTCATGCTGTCTCTCTCATGATTAAAATAAACTTTAAAGGAGAATAAAAATAAAACATTCTTTGTCGGTAGTTATTTCAGCTGCTGACTTTTCCTGGATTTTCAGAGGGGAGAAATTCCAGCAGACATTTCTCCCTCACTCAGCTCCCTGGGTCTCCTCACTGTCAACTCTGATGTGCATGTATGTTAGCGATGTTGCCATTTTTCCTCCCCACCTCAAAGCAGGGCAGTCGGAACCATTCAAATACTACAGCTGTAGGAATAGGCCTGAGTGCTCAGAGTGGAAATAAATAGCATAGTACCTTTCTAGGTTGTGTAGGGGTTTATATAATGCCTGTTCACTTTTTGGTCACTACAAATTTTTAAATAATTAAAGTAAATCATTATTTCCTTTCAGGTGCGGTGTCTTAAAGACTATGGAGAATTCGAAGTCGATGATGGTATTTCGGTTCTATTGAAAAAAAATAGCCAGGTATTTCTTATCTTCAGATACTGTAGATACTGTATTTAAATCTTGTAAGAGAGTTGAATCGTAGAAATGTTGGAGTCACTAGCAAGATAGCACCTTGCGATGATCATGTATATCTTAGTCGTAATGTTTACTGTGATGCACCTGTTCTGTAGTTCTTCTCAGTTTTAAGACTTGAAGCAAATATTACATATACTAAGGAAAGATTAATGTATGAGGCTATTACTTATATTTAACACTCAGCATTTTTTACATTTTCTGGAAAAATATAATGGTCTAATTCTGGGCAGGTGGTAGATTATTATCTAGTGGTTGTTAAACTGGTGGGTTTGGCTCCGTTCTTCAAATTACAATTTATAAAATGTGGCGGGGTTGGCAGGTGGCATGGTGTTTAAGGGTGCTGGACTCCCACATGGCTGACCATGGTTCAATTCCCAGACCCAGCGGCTTGCTTTCTCTCTTTCACTCACTCTGTCCCTCTCTGGTCAAATAAAATAAAATGAAATAAGTAGATTAAATGACTAAAGTCAAAATAAAAAATAATTCTTTAAAAAAATGTTGCTAAACACTTATTTTTCAGCTTGTACTTCACCTTATAAATCCCGGTTTTTTAAGAAATTAATAGTAATATATCTCAAGAATTTCTAAGTTCTTGATATATAAACATAACAATTTAATAGGGAAAGGTTGAAATTGTGAAGTTATAACTTACGCTAAATTTTTCCTTGTAAACAATCTCAGTATAGTGTTTCCTTAGACATCTTCAAATTCACATTAGGAATTTTCCTGTTAGATAAATGTATTTTAAGGGATCAGCAGTTAGTGTAATGACTATATCTCTGGACTTCCATGTAGTTGACTGTGATTCGAGTCCTGGACCCAGTGGCTTAAACATTCCTTTCCTTCTTTGCCTGCCATCTGAGTGTAACTGATTTATGCTGTAGAACAAAAAAAATTAAAACTTCTGACTAGCTAGAGGGCTAGGGGAAGGGGATCTTGGTGTGACGAGACCTTGTCAAGGGTATCTATTTGTGTTTCATGTGCTCTGTCATGCTGTCTCTCTCATGATTAAAATAAACTTTAAAGGAGAATAAAAATAAAACATTCTTTGTCGGTAGTTATTTCAGCTGCTGACTTTTCCTGGATTTTCAGAGGGGAGAAATTCCAGCAGACATTTCTCCCTCACTCAGCTCCCTGGGTCTCCTCACTGTCAACTCTGATGTGCATGTATGTTAGCGATGTTGCCATTTTTCCTCCCCACCTCAAAGCAGGGCAGTCGGAACCATTCAAATACTACAGCTGTAGGAATAGGCCTGAGTGCTCAGAGTGGAAATAAATAGCATAGTACCTTTCTAGGTTGTGTAGGGGTTTATATAATGCCTGTTCACTTTTTGGTCACTACAAATTTTTAAATAATTAAAGTAAATCATTATTTCCTTTCAGGTGCGGTGTCTTAAAGACTATGGAGAATTCGAAGTCGATGATGGTATTTCGGTTCTATTGAAAAAAAATAGCCAGGTATTTCTTATCTTCAGATACTGTAGATACTGTATTTAAATCTTGTAAGAGAGTTGAATCGTAGAAATGTTGGAGTCACTAGCAAGATAGCACCTTGCGATGATCATGTATATCTTAGTCGTAATGTTTACTGTGATGCACCTGTTCTGTAGTTCTTCTCAGTTTTAAGACTTGAAGCAAATATTACATATACTAAGGAAAGATTAATGTATGAGGCTATTACTTATATTTAACACTCAGCATTTTTTACATTTTCTGGAAAAATATAATGGTCTAATTCTGGGCAGGTGGTAGATTATTATCTAGTGGTTGTTAAACTGGTGGGTTTGGCTCCGTTCTTCAAATTACAATTTATAAAATGTGGCGGGGTTGGCAGGTGGCATGGTGTTTAAGGGTGCTGGACTCCCACATGGCTGACCATGGTTCAATTCCCAGACCCAGCGGCTTGCTTTCTCTCTTTCACTCACTCTGTCCCTCTCTGGTCAAATAAAATAAAATGAAATAAGTAGATTAAATGACTAAAGTCAAAATAAAAAATAATTCTTTAAAAAAATGTTGCTAAACACTTATTTTTCAGCTTGTACTTCACCTTATAAATCCCGGTTTTTTAAGAAATTAATAGTAATATATCTCAAGAATTTCTAAGTTCTTGATATATAAACATAACAATTTAATAGGGAAAGGTTGAAATTGTGAAGTTATAACTTACGCTAAATTTTTCCTTGTAAACAATCTCAGTATAGTGTTTCCTTAGACATCTTCAAATTCACATTAGGAATTTTCCTGTTAGATAAATGTATTTTAAGGGATCAGCAGTTAGTGTAATGACTATATCTCTGGACTTCCATGTAGTTGACTGTGATTCGAGTCCTGGACCCAGTGGCTTAAACATTCCTTTCCTTCTTTGCCTGCCATCTGAGTGTAACTGATTTATGCTGTAGAACAAAAGGTGGCTCTGAGCTGTGTGGTTCTTGGGCCTATTGCCCTAATGCAGGGAGTTAATCTCTATTTTACTAGTACCCATGGAGCTTTGGTTTCCCAGAGTAAAGGTTGAATATTTTAAAAACTGATTTTTAGGGTACTGAAAAGTTTTGGATTGGTGCTGGATGGTAGTGCATCAGTAATGTACCACTCCATGAAGCCAGCTGACACGGGAAGTTCTGGGGTTCACGTGCGGAGACTCCTTGTAAATGTCAGGCACCTGTGTGTGTCCATGTTCTGGCCCAGCTAAGGCCGAGGAGTGGGTTGCAGTGTCAAGACCCTGTCGCGGATGCTTGGGTCTCTCCCCCTTTCTCTCTCTCCCTGTCTCTATCACTCATGGAGGAAATAAATTTTCAAAAAGACAAAGTCTTTGTTATAGTTTCACTTCCAGGTGCTGTCCAAGGACACTAATGAATTGAAGGCAGTGATGCATTACACTTTTAGAAAAATCTGCATTTCTGGAGGATCCATCAGGAAGCTCTGGTTCACAAGATTAAAGCTGTGCTCGTAAACTAAGTGTGCCGAAGCATCACTTCACCCCACACTAGCCTGTGGGTAGTTTTGTGGCTGCTCTGCCCACTAGTGCGCAGAGGCCATGATTCCTCAGCAGAGAGGCCCCCGCGCCATTCGCCCTGCACTGGCCGTTGTGTTTTCCTCTGTGAGCCATGCACGCCTTCCTCTTACTAATGCTTTTCACTTTCTCTCAGCTTCCCTCTCTCTGTGACAAAGATGGAGACACTGAAAAAACAAAACTTACAGTCAACTGTAGTTGGTGTCAGGGGGCTTCTAAAATGTCCGAGCACATCCACAATTGATTTTCTCTAAAATCTGTGGTATCGGTCCTGGTCACGCACATTATGTAAAACATCAGTAGGAAGACGGCGTCTTATCATACATCCTTTTATGGCTGTCAGTATGGCAAGCACTGTATCTTTTTGTCAAAAATGAGACCTGCCCTTAAGTAAATAACTTCTGTATTTTTCTACATTATATACATTATATATATAGTTTTTCCACTACCATAGTGTCTGTGCACTGCCAGAGAGAAAAGAGGAAAGCCCCCTTGAGTGGGAGGTGGTTATGCCACAATTCTTCTCCATTTCTCTATCTTGTTAGGATGTGGGGTGCACACACACATGTCCCTGGCCTGTGTTTCAAGACACCAGGGCTGGAATTTGGACCACAGTAGGCCACATAGGATCTGGCTCCCTTGAACACTAGGCTGCAAGGCTAGTCCTATGTTTTACATTTTTAAAGTTCGTTTATTTTTGAGAAAGACTTTTTATTTATTTATTTATTTTTAGGCCTCTTACCACGAGGCATAGGCACTTGTCAGAGAGACAGACAGAGAGGGAAAAGTGAGAAATCATCCCCAGGGGGATGGTCACACCACAGTCCCCTCTCCTCCATTCTCCTCTCAGGATTTTGGGCATGCACATACATGGGCCGGGCGTGATTTCTCAAGCTGCTGGGTATGGCACTAGAACTGCAGTCAGCCATGTGGGAGTCCAGCACTTTAACCACCGCACCACCTGCTGACCCCGAGAGATTGTAATTGACTGATCCTCCTGCCCTAGCCTCCCAGCCAGGCCCATACCTACACACGCTTCCTGTTTTACATTAGACTGGGAGCCAAACCCAGGCTTCCCAAGTAGCCTCTGTCTGAGAATAGCAGCATCTTAGCACATGCTGATGTTATATAGTAGCTAAGCTCAACATGTTATGTGTTTTATTTTTTGCCAGAGAGTGCTTGTGCTTGGCAGAGAGAGACAGTTGAGGAGAGAAAGCACCCTGCCATGGTGCATGGTCACACCACAATCTCTTCTCCATTTCTCTGTCCTGTTGGGATTTCAGGCATACCTGCACACGCTCCTACAGTATTTTTCAAGCTGCTGGGGCAGGGATTTGAACTGCATTTCGCCATGTGAGATTCATCTCCCTAAATCCCAGGCCATAGGGCTAGCTCCATTTTGTTTTTAAAGCCTTAGAAGGACTTAAAGAGTTAGGCAGCAGTCCTTGGCCCACGTGTGTTAGAGCTGGTTTGGAAGGATTTGGTCATGTTCTCCTGTGAGGTCTTGAGTTTGTGGGGCAGGACCTTCAGCTGCACAATGCTACTGAAGTTACAGTTTGCTCTCTTGAGTAGTTTTGATCATCTCTCCTGCTATAGCCATTTTCAAAGGTTAGTTCCTCTCTAATTTGTAACATATGTATTGTTGTTTTAGTTTTTACCCAATTGTACCTTCCTTTAAGAGTTCTTTGATCACCTGTGAGCTTAGAAAGCCTTCCTGCCTTTGCTTTGCACCTCCCCGTTTCAGGATGTAGTGAATGTTCACATCTGTTTTAGGCCCACGTGTTGTGATAGGAAAGATTTCTGTCCTTTGGCTTCCTCAGAACAAGAATGGGGTCCTCTCAGGCAGACACACAGGACGAATGTTAGCTTGGTTGCTGGGTGCTGGTTACGTGTAAACAGCCCCTGCCTTGTAGGTTACAGGTACTTTTTATTTTTAAATTTATTTTAAAATTTATTTCTTCCATGACTGAATGAGAGAGAGAGAAAACAGCACTCCTGGGAGAGTCTTGATGCCATAGTCCACCTCCAGTTCAGCCAGCCAGATCATGGGTACACTTGTACAGAGTGTATTCAGGGAAGTCTCTGGACTTGAACCAGGAACCTCCTTGTGTGAGAGTACCTCACACAGTGTTGCATCTTACTGCTGTGACACTGTGTGTCCCCACAAATACTTTTAATTTTGGAAAAAAAAAATAGAAAAATTGTCACTGTTATCTGAAAAATAAATGTTAACACTGAAATCTTAGAACAGATTTCCTAGAGAAGACAATCCTCTCATTGATTTTCCCAATGAGCTGTTGTTCCTCTTATAACCAGGATCCCAAATCCCCCCTACCTAAGATTTTTTGGACAGAAATTTAAATATGCAATGCCAAGAAAAATACTTAATAAAATTCAGAAGTCTAGTTGGATTTAACTTAGGCAAACTGTGAATTTACTTTCAAAAATCAGAATTCAGCATAGCTCTAAATGATATCAATTTCAGTCCATTGAAACAGTAAATATGATCAACTATTAACTGTTTAACTGCATTTGAAAATGTCAAAATTGGTTGTTGCATTTTAATGATGCAAAAGTAATTAAAAATTCTTCTCTAATCGTTCTTCTTCACTCTTCTCCTACAGCACTTTCTCCCCCGCTGGAAGTGTGAGCAGTTGATTAGACAGGGAGTCCTGGAGCACGTCTGGTCATGATCCACACTGAGGAGCTGCAAGGCTGAACCTGGCTCCCAGAACCTTCTCCACATGGCTCTTCACCTCCCCCAACTCCCTTTTTTATTTCAAAAGTTACAGACATTCTTTATGATATTGTAATTAATGATTACGAATTGTGTCTAGTCATAACATTTCTACTATTGTTACTACAATGTATTCTTTTAAATGAAAGTAAACATTATTATAGTTGATTCTTTTTTTCATCCCCAAATAACTAGAGTCCATTGCCTACATTAGAAGAGGATGGATCCTTATATATCATGTGTGTTTTCTGGTGGTGTGTAGTATACAAGTCAGGGAGTACATGATTTAAAACCATAGGGGCAGGTAAAGATGGTGGTCTATAAAAATTTTCAGCATATTCAGTGTTTACTGGCATATTGATCATCTGGCTGTTTGAGAAGGAAGAAAGGAAAGGAAGGATACAGTGGACTTTGCTCATTTCCAGCCATGGTATTGGCGTGGCTCATGGCTGTTTACAAGCTTGCGAGGTGAGCGTCAGTGTCACCACTTTTCAGAAGGATGTAGAAATTGGGATGGTGTACTGAACTGCAGCACTAGAAGCCACGTAGCTCCGCAAGAGTTTGGATCCCCAGTTGAGCAGACAGTCCAGGCACACAGCATGCATGGTCAAGTTCCTAATGAGCTGGGGGGTAGGAGAAGGGGACGTCATGATGAGACGCTGTCGAGGATGCCTGTTTTTCTCTCGTTTGCACACTGTCATGAATAAAATAATAAAAAGAAATTGGGGCTAGACAAGGAATTTGTGCAGTTTTCTCTCAGACTCATGTTGACCAAAATGTCATGAAGAGTTGGCCAGGTGGAGGATGCTTTGTTTATTTCTTCCCTGAGAGAGACAGAAAGAGAGACAGTCTCCACACCGTGATCCTGCTCCCAGCCTCAGCCAGCCAGGAGCACAGATATGATAGCACCTTGTGTGCACAGGGAGACCTTGGGGTGCAAACGTGGGACCTTCCATGTGGTCTCAGCACAGCAGAACATCAGATACCATTCCACACAGTTACCACTGCATCACCTCAGTGGCCCATATGAATGACGAGTTAAGCCATGTGGTGTTGACCATTTAGTAAACCGTAAGGTTTGCTGGAGTGGATCGGGGTGGATTTTACAACTAAGGGATGCTGGTTTATATGGTTTTGAAAGTGGGTCTGCAGGTCTATGCCTTGTTAGTGTTTCAGTTGTCTGTTCCATTTAAATAAGCCACCCTAAAACCTGGTGACTTCAAACCACACCATTTTGTCACCTTACAGTTCTGTGGGTGGGCAGCTCTGCAGGTCCTGCTTGAGTCTCAGATGCAGGTGCGTCGGTGGTGGCCCGGCTGGGCTGGCTGGGCTCTCCACTGTGATTTCAGCAGCTTACCTGCTGCTCATGGGCCACATGGTGCCAGGACGATGGAAGGAGGAGCTCCTCAGGTTCTGGAAGGCTAGGCCTGGTGCTGGACCAGCACAGCTCTGCCATATTCCATCAGCTACCACTGCAGGGTGCCCAGCTTCGGGGGGTGAGGAGTAGGAGGAGCACCAGTGACATGAAGGCAGAGCCCCAGGTGGACACCACAGCCAGGCTTGGTGTGACAGCATTCTGGTCATCTAAAATGAGCTGGTGTTCATTTGTCTATTTGTAATAGAAATGCAAACTTTGTGTGTGTGTGTGTGTGTGTGTGTGTGTGTGTGTTTTAGTTTTAATTTGTTTAGAGTTTTTGCCATAGGGTGTATATGCTTGCTGGAGAGACAGTGAGAAAGAGAGAAATCCCTTGCCAGGGGAGTGCCCACACCACAGTCCCTTCTCCATTCTGGGATTTTGGGTTGCACACACACATGCCCAGCTTGTTTCAAGCCACCAGATTCAGGCCTTGAACCGTGGTGAGCCGTGTGGGACTCCAGTGCCCTCAACCATCATGCCACCTGCTGACCCCTCTAAAGAAATTTTTTAAGTTTATTTTTAAATCAATTTAAAACTTTTTCTTGAGTACATTTTAGTTCATTATGTTTTTCTAAATCTATTTTAAAGTATATTGACAAATTTTTGCTTTTCTATCTAACTATATGGTCACTCCTGATGTCACGAATCCTATTTCTTCTTAGTCATATAACTTTTTAAAAAATAATTTTTTATTTAGCTAGATTTATTTATTTATTTAAATTTGACCAGAGAGGGACAGAGAGAGAGAGAAAGAAAAAGTGTGAAAGCAAAGCCGCCAGGTCTGGAACTCAAACCACGGTCGGCCATGTGGGAGTCCACCACGCCACCTGCCAGCCCCAGTCATACAACTTTTAAAAAAGGATCTGGGGACCAGCAGTTAGCATAATGGCTATGTCGCTGGACTCCCACGTAGTCAACCGCACTTTGCGTCCCGAACCTGCTGGCTTAAAACTCACGCCAGGTGCGTGTGCGTGTGTGCCCAAGATCCCGAGAGGAGAACGGAGGAGAAGGGATTGCGGTGTGACCATCCCCCCTGGGGGGTGATTTGCTTTCTGTCTCTCTATCTCTCTCTTCCTTCTGGCGAGCGCGCGCGTCCTATAGCAAAAACCTCTTTAAAAAAATTATCTGTAGGGCCAGAAGGTGGCATACTGATTATGGTGCTAGACTCCCACATGGTTGACCACAGTTCAAATCCTGGATCCAGCAGTTTGAAACTCATACCTGGCATGTGTGACCAAAGTCCCATGAGGATAATGGAGGAAAAGGGATTGCAGCATGGTCATATCCCCTAGGGGATGATTTCTCACGTTCTCTGTGTCTCTGGTGAGCACACACACCCTATAGCAAAAATCTCTGGGGAAAAAAAATCTGCAATAAGGTTTGCCTTTTCAGACATGGAAGGGGGAAATTTAGGTTTCAGAAGATTCCTTGTTTTTTATAGTTGATAATAGTTGGATGAGTTGAATTTATTCTATTTTGTGACTTTAAAAAAGATGTTTAATATATTCACATGGTACAAAATATATAAAGTATATAACAAAAGGTCTTGCTTCTCCCTCTTTATCCATGCCATTCCCATGCCGATAGGTAACCACTTTTATTTGCTCTATGGGTATGGTTTGGATTTTTTTTTAAAGAATTATTTATTTTAATTTTTAACTTATTATTTGTTTATTTGCTAATAGGGTACATGTGCACACCAGAGAGAGAGAAAAAAAAGTGAAAAAGCAAGCCGCCAGTTCTGGGACTTGATCCATGGTCAGACATGTGGGAGTCTAGAGCTCCAACCACCATGCCACCTGCTAAGCCCCTAGTTGGGATATTTTAAGACAAAAACTGATATAAATTTTTGTTCCTCTCGTCCACAAAAGATACTATCCTATATACCTAGAGAGCTTCCTCATTCTTTTCTAGTCATGTGCAGTATTTGCTGAATGGCAGAAATGGCGGCATTTGTGTTATGGGCAGAATCTGTTCCCCCTAAATGCATACACTGAACTTCTAACCTGTGCATCCTCAGAATATGACTAGAGATAGGGCCTTTGAAAACGTAATTATGGTCAAAGTATATGAGGTGATAATGATGGGTTCTAGTCCAACCCAATAAGGGGAAAGTGGACACATTGAGATGACCATATGAACACACAGCAGAAAGGCAGCCTCTGCACGCCCGGCCCCGGAGAGAGGCCTCAGAAGAAACCAAGTGTTCCTTACCTTGAGCCTGAATGGACATCCAGCTTCCAGAGCTGAAAAAATACACTTCGTTAATGGCAGTCCCAGCGAATGGGTACCGACTGGTGTTACTTCCAGGGAATATTTCCAGGGTGTTTAATACTTAAAAATGTATTACCCTATTGATGAATGAATAAGGAATTGCTTCCAATCCTTTGTTATTACAAACAAAACTAGTATGAGTAATCTTGTACATACATAATTTCATACCCTACAGCCTTATTTGTAGAATAATTTGGACGATTTGCCAAGACTCGTAGAAATCCTAGACATTGTTTTAACTTGTACTACTACCAGAAATGAATGAGAATAACTATATCCCACTCCACCACCATCCTTACTAATTGGCTGTTGTTTCTACTTTTTGATTATTACCAAAAAAGATGCCAGGAACATTTGCGTAAAAGTATTTTATGGACACAATATTACTTTCTCTTGAGTAAATAACTAGGAATGGAATGACTGGATCATTTTGTAAGTATATGTTTAAATTTTTGAGAGGAACCAGCAGATGGTGTAATGGTTATGTCACTGGACTCCCACATAGTCGACCACAGTTCAAGTCCTGGACCCAGCAGTTTGAACTCAAGCTGGGTGCTAGTATGTGCGTGCTCAAGATCCCAACAGGAGAATGGAGAAGGGGTTGCAGTGTGGCCGTCCACCCTGGGGGTTGATTTCCCACTTTCAGTCTCTGGTGAGCGCATGCACCATATAGCAAAAAATCTCCCTAAAAATAAGTAAATTTTTGAGAAACTGCCAAAGTACTTTTCAAAGGCATTGAGCATTCTGCGCCCATCCCAGCGGTGTATGAGAGTTCTGCTTCCTGCACATCAGCAGCGTCAGCACTTGGAACTGGTAGTCTTTTTCATTTTAGCCATTCTAGTAAGTGTGCAGTGCTGTTTGTGGTTTTAATTTGCATTTTCCAATGACTAATGTTGAGTATCTTCACATTAAATTACTTATATGTATTTTCTGTGGCGAAATATCCATATAAATCTGTTGGCTTTTTTTTTTTTAATCTACATTTGTTTTCTTATTGAATTCCTATTGAGGATTCTTTATGTATTCTGGATACAAATCCTTTCTAAGTTATATGCTTTGCAAAACCTTTCACTTTGTAGTTTATTTATTCTCTCTCTCTCTCTCAGGTTATTGCTGTCTGGCCCCAGTTTCTTTTTTTTTTTTGGAGAGGTTTTTGCTATAGGGCGCGTGCGCTCACCAGCCAGACAGAGAGAGACATAGAGACAGAAAGCGAGAAATCACCCCCCAGAGGGAATGGTCATGCCGCAATCCCTTCTCCTCCATTCTCCTCTCGGGATCTTGGGCATGCACAGACATGTGCCCGACATGAGGTTTTAAGCCACCGGGTCCAGGACGCAAACCGTGGTCAACTACGTGGGAGTCCAGTGACATAGCCATTACACTAACTGCTGGTTCCCTGGCCCCAGTTTCTTGAAAAACAAGCCAGGCGCATGTACACATATGCCCCAAATCCTGACAGGAAGGAGAAAAGGAAAAAGATTGCAGCATGACCACACCCCACTGGAGTTGCTTTCTCCTCTCTCTTGCTGCCTCTCTAGCACTCTCACTAGTGTGTATTTCTTCTGGCAATTAAAAAGTAAAAAAATAATAATTTTTTTTTCTGGTATAGGGCACATGCACTTGCTGGAGAGACACAAAGAGACAGAGGCGGGAAAGTGTGAAATCACCCCTTGGGAGGGTGGCTGCACCAGAATCCCTTCTCTATGCTCCTCTCTAGATTTTGGACATGCACACACACACATCCAGCATGATTTTTAAGCTACTGGTCTGGAACTCAAACCATGGTCACCTACGTGGAATTCCAGGGCCTTAACCACCATGCCAGGAAAAAGAAATATTTTAAAGAGCAGACATTTTTAATTTTAAGGAAATCTAAATTACTCCTTTGTTCTTTTATGTTTTTGATGTATCTAAGAATTCTTTTCCCAGCTCAATTCAAATTTTTTTGTCATTCTTTTTTTCTAGAAGTGTAACACTTTTCTGTTTTTCACTTAAGTCTATGATCTATTTCGAGTTAATGTTTGTATATGGTATAAGGTAAGGAT